CTCCCTCCCTTTCCCTCTCCTCCCCTCCCTCTCTCCCTTCTTCCCTACCTCTATATGGCTCCCTTCATTATTAGAGGAGCTTCTTTGGTTGTGGGGGGAAGCGATGTTTTTTTTTCCTGACCCATTAGTGTTTGAGCTTGGTCGGCCGTACCAGCTCATAGCAAATTCCCAGCGCGGGCACGCTGTGGATTGCCTACACACCAGGGTTTTGTAGCAAACAGGGTAGTCCATAGACCCCTTCCTTTATTTTGCTTATACTGTACCGCATGCAGTCGTGCGAGTGGGTTGCATACTCACACGAAGCCATAAGGCGCCGTGGTGAGCGACGGTAGGCAAGCCCACCAGCACGCCTGTATGCGGTACAGTAGAAGCAAAATATAAAAGGAGGGGTCATGGACCACCCTGTATTACCTATCCCTCGGACAACTGCCGCTCTCCAAAGTTTCGGAGTGCGCGCCGCCGCCCACCGCGGAGCTCACGGGCACGAGAAACACACGCCGTTCGTCCCGCGAGTGAAGGGAGCTCCGCGGCCCCGCCCCGGTTCCCTGAATTTGATCTGCGCAATCTGACACGAACGTGGAGTTGGGAACTCTGCTCCGGCCCGGCCGCTCCACTGATCCGCACCGTGGCGCGCTCGAGTCGCCCGCGGCGATCACTGACCCCTCCGCCCCGTGCCCGGTGGTGCCCGTGCCCGGCCACACCCACGAGGCCCCCGGGCGGGCCGGGGCCGGCGGGGCGGAGCGGGGCGGGGCTCGCACACGGACGGCGCGCGGACCGCGACACGACGACGGCTGTGACAAAGGCCTGTCCTGTGACGCTCCACGCCCTGTGCCACCGCGGGAGCGACGCTTCAGAGCCGAGGCGCCTCATGAGAGTCTCGGCAGACCAAGGCAGCTCTTGTCGCCGGGGGGAAAAAATTTGTTCGATTAATCGAAGCGCCCCGGACGGCCCCGGAGCTATCGCCCGCATCGTTGGCAGAGTGAAACTAGATGGATGGCTGCCGCCCTGCTCTACCCACCCCCGGCCTCTATGTGTGCTCCTCGCCCCTGCTCGCTCCCAGCTCGGATAGATGATCGGTAATCCTGATAATAATCGCTTTCGCGGGATCATGCCCAAACACGACCTACTGCAGGTTTTTTCCGCCCCACACGCCGGTATGCCTGTATTCCGTCGTGTATTTCGCAATTCTTTGCAAAAGGGGTGAAATCGACGAAGTTGATATATGGCGTTGCTCCCCGGGCCCCATCTTCGAAATTCCCCCTAAAAACTCGGCGCGTGAATCTGAGACTACATGTGCTTCTCAGGTCCATGATGGACTTCCCTGGTAGAAAGACGTAAAGCAGGAGGGCGGCTAAACCTCAAAGCACTTCACCACAAAACTGTCCTCACCACGACTGTGCAGAGCGGACATTGACCCGTTTCGCGTCACGTGGAGTCCGGCCCGGCAGCCCCACCCCTCCCCCGCGCCAGACCCCTTTGAGGCCGTACCGCCCCGCCGGCCCCGGTTGAACCCGGCGGCGCGGGTTCCCAAGTCCACGGTCACGGCGAGTGCGGGCACGGCCGGCGCGGGGGCCGCGCGCTGCACCTGCGTCCCGCCGTGCAGCCGGGCTGGGGGCCGGGCACCGCGGAGCCTTGAGCAAGGTCCAGCCCAAGGCCGCCCGGCCAGCCGCCGTCCAGCCCGCGCGAGGGGAGGGCGGACAGGACACTGCCGCCGGGGGCCTGTTGCTCCGCGCAGTTACACCGCTGGTCCGCATGCCGCATTTCCACTTGAATGGTGGTCAGGCGCCGCCGAGCCGAGCCGAGCCCGGCAGGCCCGCATTGACAGGCGGGGTAATCCACGGGCGCGATTAGCGATACAGACGCTCGGGCGCGACGCGCCTCGAAATGAAAACATATTTCTGTCGGAACACGGGCGCGCAATTACCATACAATAACAAAAACACGGGTACCGCGGCCCAATGCGTTCCAATCGAAGCAGGAAAAAGTAAGTGACGAGACACCCGTCGGACCGATTTGGAACCAGCCCAACAACGCCATTTCGGGGAGATGAGTTCGAGAGATGTCCTCCCCGATTTCGTTGCTGGGCGTCTCCCTCCGGCGGCGTCCCCCGGTGCATCCCTCGGTGACGCGCGGCCCCCGCTGTTCCCTTCCCGCTGGGCCCACAACAGGTTCAAAGGCGGGCGGTGACGTCCGCCGGCGACACGGCCACACTCCTGAGCGCGATCGTGGGCAGCCGGCCAAAGACGCGAGAGGCGGGCTTGCTCGGGGCTGGGGAGGAGGAGGTTTTTGGTGCACAAAGTGGTGGCAGCTGGACTAAAAAAACATCTCGTGTCTTCGAGCAGCGCCAAAGTTGATATCCCCCAACACATTTGACCGCGCTGTCGTTTGTGTCTGTTATCATGCATTCCGCCTAGCGTTGACAACATAATGTGAAAAAAGGCATCGAAGCAATAGTGAAACGTCAAAAATCGACGGGTTACTACAGCGTAACGACATGAATTTACAAACATTTCCCACGGTGACTGGACTATTGAAAGGGGTGATAGCAGATATAATAAATTACACCAATCTTCCCTCCGCCACTTCCTTATTCCCTACTGCTTCTTTGCTAACAAGCGATAAAATGTAACTTGACTTCTCTGTGGGTTTCGCATGCGTGCATGTGATTGTTCCTTAGTTTATGGAGTACAGTATACAAGAAGACGGAATATATATGGGATGAGAGAAAGAAATATCGAAGGGAAGAGAGGGAGAGAGAGACTGGGAAGGAGTGGGACGACCTTTTTTTTGTCTCACCCAACCGGCTAATATCAGGCGGTCATTCCCCGCACAGGCCGGGCGGGCGGGGCGATACGGGGTGATGCAGGACGGCACGGGAGGACACAAAATAAAAACTCGCCAAACGACGTGTCTGATCCATCGCACTCCCCTTCCCCCTTCCTCTACCTCCTGCACCGACCCTCTCTACCCCCCC